TCATTTAGTGGAGCATTGTTCCAGTTAGATGTAATCTTCAAAACTTGGTTTGTACAAATGCAAATAGAGAATATGTCCTCCATATTTTAATTGCAGCGCTTATCCAAGTTTACATTTATACATTTATACAATGTGAAAGTCGTTGTTTTTTTTCCCCGTGTGGGCATATTTGCATCTAAAATATAGTGTGCCCCACAATTAAGGCATACGTAGAACAAGCTGAATTTACTGTAATGTTTTTGTTGTCCTATACATGTGAGCATTCATTGCTTTCCATCCCAGAGTCTGTAAAATAACTTTTTGATTGCTTTTAGAGGGGCAAACATCACCCTGGAGAGGTACCATGTAAAGGAGATAGAGTTCAAAAGTGTGTCAGTCATTTACGAACAGAAACCAAAAACAAGCTCAGTCATGAAGGGGTTAAGAATCTAGAGAGTAGTACTCATTGGACTAAAGAAGTGTAACTATTGGCCAAGTGCTGTTAGATGAGTTTGTGTCTACTGTTGTCATACCTGTGAAGTACTGCTAATCACGTCCCCGAGTGTGCCTACTAAACCTTGGGACCACTCTTGATGTACTGCTCAAGTGTCAGGTTTCAGTGTGTGCGCAGTTTGCCAACCATCTCGGGTCTGTGAGCATCTGATCTTTTGTTCCTGCTTCTGGATGCTCTCGGCCTGAGGTCCTTGCCAAGTAGAAAAGGGTAGCAGACTGACTCCCTTTGCTAATGTTTCTACAGGAAACATGTGACCCACCATTGAAGGCAGGCACAGGCACAGTGCCAGGGGAACTCGGAAGGGGCACTACAGGGGGAATGTTTTAGTTATAGGGTAGGATTAGCACAAGTAGGATGCTGGAGAAAGCAGAGGATCACCACAAGTGTGGTGTTGGGGGAAGTGGAGTGGGGGGGGGTTGTAGTGGTGCAGTAAGCATACAGGGAGATGCTGAAAAGAACTAAAGCCAAGCCTTCTTTTTTTTTGCTTCAGTTTTCCTTTGGTGAATGGGGCACATGGAAAACAATTGTAGTAGTGACCCTCATTTTCTTGTACAGAAAAAGTCACTGCATGCCATGTGAACATTGCCAAGCATTATACTAGTGCAGGGGTCAAAATTTCAAGTCCTGAGCTACTAGCCAGGCCTTAAGAGTTACTCGCCACCAGTTGCCCACCTAATCCCTACCCTGCCACGGCCCTAACTCTGCCCCTAAACACACCCTCTTAAATAATCTTCTCAATTACACTGTTACATGTTTTATGCAGAATACAGTTACAAATATTGATATTCCCCCCTGTTCCCTGCCCCCCACGTATAAAATAATACACTCCCCCCCATTCCCTGCCC